CCATTATTCATTTCAGAGTGCGTACAACCTTTTGAGAGAGAAATTCAAGCACTTTTCAATGACTTTCAAGCATTCACCATTATAACCTGTAGATGGCAGCAAAGGAGCACTTATTGGCTTATTCATTTACATTTTTTCCTTTATATTTTGAAATTATAAAATTACAAATATAAAATCACTATCACAAAATATCAAATCATCAAGAAATCAGATTTGGCAAACTCTCCAGTGCGTTATGGATTGCGCTCTGGAGATGGATTTCTATGTCAATGTGTTTTTGCCAATCACAGACATATCTGTTGATTTCTTGAATCAGAGGCGTTTAAGTTAGAATCCAATCACCGCTGAAATCGAGAGAGAACTTTAATGATAATAACGTATCTTTGTGAGATCGCGATTCGCGATGAAGAGTGACAGCTTTTTAAGTGATTATGAACAGAGTGCTCTCTGCGCCATAGCAACAGACGCCAGACGCCAATATATATATATATCTTTGTGTGTGTGTGTGTTCCTTTCAGCAATCTCTGAATACCTCTTCGGCAAACAGTGACATTCCCAGAAGTGATCTCATTGGGTAGCTCACTTTACTCTTTTACAACACGTGTTGTTTATATGACCTTGAATATACTCCATTTTTCTTCAATCTATAATAATCGACTCTCATTTTTGCAAAAGAATTACTAACTTGCCTCATAAAGGCAATAACCCTTAAAATGCGTCATACTTTCTTTTATCAATGGACAGTACAGATCCACTTTTAATCCTACAGTCTGGACTGGTTTAACAGCTTTACGTTTATTGCTGCTCATCAAAATCTCAAAATTCAGTTGCTTTCGAATTATTACATAATTACCTATGCCTCTGCATTGAGAGTTTATACAATAAGAGAGCACAAAAAAAATCAAATCAACTTATTTTATTCATTTAACACATCATTGACTAACTAGATCATATTTAGCGATTATAGAGCTTGTGAACACCACAGGAGGGTGGGCTCCTCTCAAGGTTTCTCCTTGCCAAAGTTCCCTTGGGTTGAGGACTTAGAGACATTAATTTCTGAAAAGCTGCTTTGAATCAACACGGATTGTGAAAAGCATAAATAAAATAACTTGAGAGCTAATCACTCTTTATTCCAAAATCGTGCAGCCGTTGCTGCCTAGTCTGCAGACTTATCACTCATTAGTGAGTTCAAATAGAATGCACAGGGTTTATAGGAATTACTGTAGATAATTTATATCTGATCATTTTGATATGTTATCACGTTTACAGATCAGACGTGATATGGATTATCTCTAGTCAATCTTAAAGGATTTCTATGGGTGTGTCAAATTTGGATAAGCAAATATGTTTATCTGTAGCGCATCCTTATCTTTGAGTTCAGCCCTTTCAGGGCCTTCAGGTTATCATTATGGTGATGGGCTGCATAAAGTCATTGGTGAGGACACATGGTAAGATGGAGTTGAAATACATTCTTTTATGAGACCGACATGAATTGGTTATGAAACGACCGTGACTTTTTGAAATGTTGGAAGTCTGGGGCATGTTAGTGTGCTATTCATTGACCGTGTGTACTTTGTTAAGCGTTGTGTACACATTGACCAAACGCACTTAATGAATACTAAAATCGTTTGCACAAAGTGTTTATACCAAAACACGTACAGGACAGCGCTATTGCTTGTATGCATTTCCTAGAAGACACACCATGATGGAGAGGGTGCTTCAGTCAGGGTCATTGAGGTCACGGCTGTGACAATTTCAATATACATTTTTCAAATGTAGTAATTTTGATTGCATCATTTTTGGTAGTGATGGAATGCATAGGTGCCAAATGGCTGAGCACCCACGGGAAAAACTTGAGAAATTCTCTATTCACGATCATATTGGCGAAACAGATCTGGCAAACTATCTAGTGCATATTTGTGAGAGCGTCAAAAGTGTTTTTTTGCAGCGTTGAGCAATGTAGCCAATCAAAGACATATCTGTTGATTTATTGAATCAGAGGCGTTTAAGTTAGAATCCACTCACCGCTCAAATTGCCGGAGGTTTTTTTCAGGTATTGTGTTCAGCATGAATCATCTCATTATAACAAAGTGTTGATGCAATGTAAATAAGAGATTTGTTGTGCAGCGTAGAGAACTTTAATGATAATAACGTATCTTTGTGAGATCGCGATGAACTAAGATGAGTGACAGCTTTTTAAGTGATTATGAACAGAGTGCTCTCTGCGCCATAGCAACAGACGCCACTAATATATATATATATATATTTATGTGTGTGTGTGTGTGTGACCTGTTTTCTGTCTCCAGCTCGTTCTTCCTGCTGTTGGCGTCTTCCAGTAAACTCTGCAGCAGTGCGATCTGTTCGTTATCTGATCCCTCCTGAGCCAGTTTCAGCATCTTGTTCTCATGCTGCAGGCGAATCAGACGCTCTCTGAGAAACAACACAACAAGACAACACTAGTCAGGACAAGAACAGGAGCTCACTAGACCACGATAACTTCTGCAGTCAGACGTCTAACAAAAATTAGTTCCATCATCAGAAGAAACTCAAAACTGCTGCTGGAGTCTCAGAGATCCGAGTGAGTGAGTGAGTGAGTGTGTGTGTGTGTGTGTGTGTGACAGAGAGAGAGTGAGTGTGTGTGTGTGTGTGTGTGTGTGTGTGTGTGTGAGAGAG